TCCAAGTTAGGATCAAGCGATGATGACCTGATCAAAAATTAAATGTTGCAAAAATAGCAAAATATATTAATGAAAAAAAAATGGGAAAAATGAGATTGTAAAATACAGCGAAACATATGGTTTATTTAAACCTCTCTGGTCCATCAAATAACTGCATGCGCAAATTAGCCTGATATGCGGCCTTCTTTTTAGCTTTCATCAAAACACTGTTTTCAGCCGAATCTTCAGTAGTAATTTCAGAATCTGCTGGTAAGTCTTGTTCATCAATAATTGGGGCAGATCTCTGAAACAGATTAAAAATTTTCACACAGTGCAAACACTTTAAAGGATCTTCATAGATTATTAGATTAAAAAAGACCTTACTTTTTGTTCTGCTTCAATTTGAAGGCGTAGTGTTTGCAAGTCTTCTCCATAATGTTTTAACACTTCACTATCAATATTCCTGAAAAATAGCATTTCCTGGACAGATAAAACGAAAATTAATATAAAACTACTGATTTAATCTTGTTTTTTAAGGTGAGGATAACACCTTAAACTACATTTTCTCTTTTAATGACAATGAATACAATTGATAAATAACAGTCACTGAAATAAGAACAAACCATAGGCGACAGTACGATAATCACAAAATTCTGCATTTCAAAATGCAATGAAACTAAAATGCTTACCTATTTTTTTGTAATCTGTCGTATAATTCTTCCATTTCTTTCAAAGCAGCATTAAGTTTGAGTATATTAAAAGAGATACTCTCTGCACAAAGCCTCTCAGTGCGACCTAACAAATGTTGGAAGTTAACTTCATCAGCTGTAATGGTCCCCATCACGGCTACTGAAAAAAAGAAATGCGAAAGTTAAGAATTTCAGCATCATCCTATGCCCAGCACTGAAATCATTGATTGCATTACAGGTAACTAATATGATGCAACATTTTCCTGAAAACCCTCTTTAGATAATACAAATCCAAAATGACCATCACAATACCACCTAATAATCTTTCTTATCAATATATATTCCAAATAGAAAGATTTGAGGAAGATAAAGGAGAAATACTTCTCCTACGTGGACTGGAAACTTATAGCAATACTAAATTTTAGGAGAAATAGGGAAATAGTAACTATGCAAATGATAACTCTGCGAATACAATGACGGAAATTTTCTTTAAAACAAACCAGCAGTGTATGTAAAGTAACAACTGTTTATTGGAAATAATAATTATATAATATAGTCCAAAAACATAAATTAACATACCAGCAAAAAGTCTCCTATATATCTCAACTGTATGGAAAAATTTGAGAACTTATAACATTACGCTTAGATTTCATAGGATTATCTTATACACTTCCAAAAAAAATTTTTTTGACAATACATCCACATTAAAAATGGTGCAGAAATTATTGCTATTGATTTAGCATATGTCTCAGTCCGATATATATGTCGAATGAATAGCAATAATTCTGTTCGCCTCTTCCAATATTCTCATATAATTCAAAACTGCTATCATGAAAACATAACAAACAGAGAGTGCCATCACGTTAATTTTTGTATGTTAATCTGATATAGTTTAAACGGTGAAACTAAAACTGAGGTTCACGCTGATTTTACAAACTAAAAAATGTGTCCCACCCGTACCACTGATGGATTTCATTTTATCATCAAAACTGTAACAATCTGCAACTCTTAATTCAAAATTAAGCAGACTGCTGCGCCTCCTGCTCTTTTTCTTTCTCTTCATGCTCTTTAATCAACTGTGAGACCTCAGCACTTGTCAAATTCTCCACCACTGTTTTGTCGTTGCGTCGTGTTAGTGTTGCCATTTCAACTGAAAATTATGAGATTAAAAAATGATGACATGAGAAACATCAGTTAGGACTGACAGAAATAACTAGCAAATCACAGCAGCACATATAACGATGGAAGAAAGGTTGGAAATTGGATGCCAAATTAAAAAAAAAAAATACATGGCAAATCCCTTGCCCTTGTTTCAGATTGTATTCAACTATTTCACCTGCTAATTTATCGTTAGCACCACAAAAAAAAAGAAAAAAAAATCACAAAAATATGATACAGAGCTTTTAACCACTGAATTAAAATTTAAAGTTTTGTAGAAAGAAAAAAATTATACTTTTTTCTGCCGATAATTTCACGTCTAAAGTTTTTGACAAGACCTTCATGGCCAATTTCTTAGCTTCAGCCAAGTCGGGTGATTTGTATTCCTGCTTTAGAAGGGATACGGCAGCCTGAAAAATCATCTAATAAGCTGATTACAGATATGATCAAATTAGCATACGTAATATATGTAGTAGTTCAATGGTTTTAGATTTTAATAACATCACTGTCAACAATAATTCTAATAAATCACCCATTTTTCGAAATGTTAAGTAAATCATTACTAAGAAAAAAAAAAATAGAAGCAAAGGGTCAAGAATGCCACAATAATAAATATTGATGTATTAAAGGTATCTATATTACCTGATGATTATTTCCTATGCATGTTGCTTTCCAACCGGTATAATTACCACTCGGATCGGATTGATAAAGCTGGTATCCAAAATGCTGGTCCCAACCCATATAGAGAAGTGAAACGCCAAACGGTCGTTTTCCTATAGAAATCATCGATTAGAAACATTTGAAAAGTCCATATTTTCACAAAGTGGGTATGGACAACTTAAATTTTTATCACTTCACGCTTGCAGAAGCCTAATCAATCAGAAAGCGTTCATTAGCTATTATTAAAATACTACAGTTAAACTCCTAAGGCAAAATGATGTTTCAATTAGAATGCAGAACTACATCACAATTTTGTTACTATTCTTTATAAAGAACTGTAAAACATGAAACAAACCTCCAACTTGTGTATAGCGCTGCTTCTCATTACAAAGCGTCTGCACTAATTGCTCAACAGGAATATGCTCACCATAGCTATACTTGTAATCTGCTGCCCAAAATCTTAGATGATTTATCAAAATGTTAGCATCGGCTGTGATTCCCGCAACCGTACACGCAATATTATCTGCCAACCGATAAATTTTTTCAGTTAAAACCTGAAATTCGATATAAGATAGAAAGTGAAGAATAATACTAACCACAATTTATATAGTTATTTGATACAGTACGTAATAACTACTTCTCAGTAGATCTTTCTGTTTTGATGAAAAGCAATTAGTCAAATTTCTAGAAGGAAACCATTGTTTTCAAACACAGACTTTAATGAAAAATAAAGCAGTTCACCATTCTTCTAACACTTACTTTCTTCCTTTTATTTCCTAACATTAAAAGACTGACTTCCCCATTTTTTATCAAATTTATTTATAATTTAATCTTTAGCAAGTAATTAATAAAAATAGTAACTACTGCAGGATATTAAAAATTCATACCTCATCGTCAAGCAACTTATGTACGTTCCGTTTCTCGGCAGCAATAAGGATACCATCAGAGGCTAAAATACCAAGACAAGTACCCGCATGGGATATAGCCTCCATTGCATATTCCACTTGGTAAAGTCGACCTTCTGGTGAGAAAATTGTTGTGCGAGTATCATAACGTCGAGCCTAAATTGGGTTATACTAACTCTCTCTAGTAACGATACTGTCGCCAAGAATTAAACATATTTATATAGGGCATATTTCATTCTCTGAATTGTATAATACATACCGATCATATATTCAGCAACGTGGAACGTAAAATACGCAAATTACGGATGACTGGTACGTCATACTTATGCTTTTGAGAATTTTAATCCCTCATTATGCTGTCTATATCTACATAACGCGTGAATTATATTATGGGTCTTGTATAAAGCAGTATAAGAAGTTGGTTTATTGGAATATCATATTTTTTATAATGGAAACAACATTACTCGGAATGTTTTTTCTTGCAGAAGAAAAGAGTTTTTGGAGATAGAGCAATTACAAATAACTAACTTGGATTACTTCTACAAAAGCAAAACTACGAAAAATCGAGAAAAAAATCCCATACAATATCAACTATTTACTTAATCATCGAAAATATTTGCAGTAATTGCCAAAACAGACCAATTAGATAATGTTATGCATTACTTTTAATATGTATTCATAAAATAAGAAATGAGGACCGAGATTTAGCCATAATGCTTCAATTGAAACAGTATAATTATCTTAGTACATTGAAGTTCAGGTGGAAATACTTCGAAATAGAAAGAAAATTTCGAGTTCCATCTTAAAGCAATAACACATAGCTATAATGACATACTTTTTTCTTTATTGTCATTCTTTTCTCGCATTTTCCACTTCTTCATACCTACTTGTCACCAATACATACAAAGGATGTGTCACAAATTTATGACGACTTACGTCTCAAACGCTGTACAAGGATAAGAATATTACATTTTTAGTAATTTTTAATTAAAACAAAAGTTACCATAACTTAAGCGATGTTACCGTTGATTTCTAAGCGATGACTCTACCTGCAACTAAATGAGTAATTAAAAATCACATAAACCAACGCTTTCACAGCCAGCAACATATCTAGTAAAGATGATGACACTGAATAACATTAATTTAACAACCCTACCACCTACATCAAATACCGCCCCCTCACGTCAAACCTTACGCTTCCACTTCACTTCCTTGGTCTACTTCATTTTCAACGCGTCCCGCTATGTACTATCACAAATTATCTTTGACACGGACTCTATGCAAAAATTCACTTCCACGACAATGCATGACGAATGTATCCGAGGATCAAACAAAGAGGTAAAACGTCTTAGATTGAAATGGAAAAGTCAAAGCAATTAATCATCTTTAATTAATGAATTTAATTTATAGGGCTAGAAGTAGATTGAATCCGTTCTCTTTTTTTTTAATTAAAAAATCTCTCTTATTTAAAATAAAAATTTTTAATTTCTTTATTTTTTTAAAATTTTTAACTTTTTTTTTTTATTAAAATTTGTTCAGATATCTTTTATAGTATTAGAAAGGAAAATTAATAATAATATAAATTCAAAATTTGATAAGTACTTTATTCTCATGACAAATGTTTAAGATATAAATCTCGAAGAACGGTATCATAACCAGTGAATATATCAATATCCATAGCATATAATGAAATATCAGTGTACACTTGAGCTCGTGGTGGATTACCTCGTCGTAATTCCTTGCATTCTGTTCCATAAGATAGAACACCAAGTAATGACCACTGACCAGTTGATCCAAGCACAACTAAACCACCTCCACTGTCGCCCTGAAAACTGAATTGGTATACATTTAAAATTAAAATTAGTTATAATTTCTCTTATCTGAATTGAAAATATTACGAGAATAATACAGGTTTCTTGCTAATAATTTTAATGATAACATTTAAATTTGATAATTTGCATAATTGAACTGGATGAATTGAAATTCGTAATTGTCATAATTTTTTATTATTTCCTCTGTAAAAGTGCTTTAAACGGTTGTTATCATTAAGTGGAGTGTAAAAAAAGGTGAAAATTTCCATGGGTCATAATAATTCAAATCAAAATAAACGTCAAATTAAAAAATCTAAAAAACGATCTGTAAAAAAACGAAAAAATTTGCCAGATAATAAAAAGTATTGTAAGCAAACATCACAAACAATAAATCATCAATCTATGAATTTAATATATAGCAACGATAAGGAAAAGACTGAAAACAACAATCAGGTATGTTAAAAAAATTTTTTTTTTCTTTTCTTTTTCTTTTTTTTTCAATATCCTAAATGGAGTAATTAATTAATGCACAAATTTATAGTTGCAATCTTGAAACTAATATTTTTGAATTTTCCAATTATTGAATCATTTATTCCTAAATGCTTTAAATGCTTGAGTGATGTTGAAGTAATTTTACAGTAATTATAATAAGTTATAGTTATTGTCATGCAATGAGGACAAATGTTTGTGTGAAGATGAAGTGGATTTAATGGAGCATATACAAATTTTATTGGATTCTTATCCCAAATGCAATTTTGTTCAGCAAATATTGCAAACATTATGCAACGAAGGAACGGTATAATTAATAATTTATCAATTACACCAACCCAATGATTAGAAAAGCTAATGAAGAAATCATTACTTTTAATATTACTTACTTTTTCGATTGAAAAGAATGTCTCAAAAATAGCAATTACAGGTGACTGAGAAAATAATAGCACATCTCATCGATAGATCAATTCATAGGCAAAGAATGATCCAAAAGCAAATTAAGATTTTAAAAAGCAGCCAGATCAGAAAATCAACCGCTGATGACAAGTGAATATTAAGGTATTGTGAACTTTTCATTTCACATTTATTTCATTTTGGCAACAGTAATAAAGCAACGAATGAGTCAGAAACAAGTTAAACAGTTTGAAACTTTCAAATTTTTTAAACAAAGATGAAAGTTATCTTAAGTAAAGAAAAATGAAAAACAGTTAATTCTAGGAATTTTTAAGGTTTACAATATGAAATTTTAAGTTGAGAATAATTTCATTAGTGCTGTCAGAGTCATTTCATGCTTTACTGTTCCAGAATACTTGAAAGTAGTTTTTTCCTTATTTAAAACAATAATTAGAAGAGCGTCCATATATGTAATAATTGCGATGTAAGTAACTGTCCTAACTGCAATTTGAAATATTCAAAATTTAAACAAGCAAAATTAATTAACCCGACATGTACTTGCCACCCTACTTTCTATTGCGCAAATTGCATCCTCTGTTTTCGATATTTTCAAACATTTTAGTCGATTCATTGTCTTTGGAAAATTGACCAGTTGTAAATTATTCGCTAGCTCTTCACCATCAGAAGATGCTGAAATTACAAGCTTTCGACGTAAAATCATTATGAGATTTTTTCTAGCTAAATTTAAAAAGCTAAAGAACTTACGAATAGAACCCCAACCATAACCAGTTAATCGTATTTGATCTTCTTTTCTGATAATATTTCGATGTCCTAAGCAAATATAATTAGTTAATGGTCCTTCAATTGTGTCCTCCAATTCTAGCAATGCAAAATCTGCCATTAGACATTTCTCATTAAAAAATCGTCCATATTGCGCCCTGAAATGTGCAATATAATGCAATCTACAATATTAATAGTAGTTATTTACGGTGATTTAATGATAATAGAATATGAAATATCAATCAGTTTATTCAGTAAATAAGATGATTTCAACTTTTAAAATATTAGTGTCTTAATGTGTCATATAAGCAACAAGAACAAATCATAAGAAATTTTTTTTTCTTTTTTAATGAGAATGTATCTCAATTATTTAGTGTATTGAGATTTTCAGCATGTCATTATATCGATAACATATCACATAAGCCATAAGAGTTATTAAATTATTCCGTTTGATCGAACTTAATTGATCGACTACCGATTGATTAAGTTAATTAGTTGTTTCGGAACGAATATCTTCATATATAGTAATTTACAAAATTAGAAAACATCAATTATAAAGCAATAAGATATAAAGTTATCCAAAGACTTAATGTTTTCAAATTCTAATTTAAAATGTCAAAAGTAATAATTATATAATTTAACCTAATAATTCCGCTCAATTTCATTTCTGGTGCATTATTGCATAAATTTCCATTTCGTTGTTGTATGCAATTACTACCATATAAAACAGTATACTTTTTAAGAGATTCTTCTTGGTAATAACCAAAAGATACACTGAAAATTATTATCGGTCAATTTAAAAATTTACCTATATTATTAAATTTTAAAATGAAATTAAATTCAAATGTAATATGTATAAATTTATGTATTCATTTTAGAGCTCACCTAGTAATAACCCTAATTTTTCCTTGTTTTTATCGTCTCAAAGCCTTTCTCATCATCTTTGGTATCTGTATCTTAATTAAGCGTAATAATCTTAAATTACAATTCTAAGTTTTGAAAGATTAAGTAAAGCAATTGTTAGTTAATATTATGTAATTAAAATTAAAGGATCTTAAAAGTAAGTACACATTATATAAATGTTATTATAAAATCAACTGTTTCCAAAATATTTCTTAGATATAAGCTATTAGCCTAAAATGAAATTTTAAGCATCTAAAGTTAGCGACCACAAAAAAAAAGCAATTATGTGACAAAAAAGAAAAGAAAAAGCAACTACTTTTGTCGTTTAAATATAAACAAGCTAAATAAGTAGAACAAGAAGATGAAACTATTTCAGAATTAGAATCTAATAATTTCTTCTGATCTCTCTGCCTCTACTAATAGTTATTCATTATGCTTCAAATTTATAGTTTATGAGTAACTTTTTCATCATTGTTTTGATGAAATGGATAAAATAGGCAAGTGTTATTAATAATAAATGTACCCTGATGATGTCATTTAGTGAATAAAATGGTTTTGCATTTAAAAAAAAAAAAAAAAAAACGATTCATAAGTTTATATACCTTAAATTCTTTTGTTATAGCTAATTATTACTAGGTTATTTGATAAAACTCAACTGATAAATGCTAATATTTTGTTTTTTGTTCTGCATCATTTTTTTTTTTATGAAAGCATTGAAAATTGTCTATAATATTTAATTGGAAAAAAAACAAACAAACTTGCAGGGCTTTGTGGCAAAAATTCTTTTAAAGCAATGTGCGGCTGTGATAACATGCTTTTGTGATATCAGTGTTCCAGTACACACATATACTATAATCATAAGAAAGATTTATTTTTTTTAATAGTGATACAATTCGGAAAATAGTTTTAATGAACGTTGTTTATTCGTAGTTAAATGGTATTTTAATAAATATACATGAATTAGTGTAATGAATGATGATATGTGAAAATTGCTTCAGCATCATTATTTAATGAATATATTTCATTCATTTTATTCATTAGCTAATTGAAATTTTAATAATCAAAAAAAAAAAAAAAAAAAAAAAGGAAGGAAACTATGCTATTTTACAAGAAAGTAGAATATGTTAAAATTTTTTTTGTAGCAAAAAAAAAAAAAACACAAACTACGGCCATGAAATAATGCTACAGCCCATGGCATTTCTCCAGGTGATGCATTTTCTCCGCCCATTATTTTAAATTGAATTTTCCCATTTGTTAGATTAGTAGTGCCACATTTCTCTGGATCTGTAATTATTCATAATTTTGTTAATTGATATCAGTGCATTCTTAATAAGCATCACGCATAAGTTCTTTGTTAGAATAAATTCACAATTATATCCGAATTACATTCCAAATTTTTGTAAAACTAGTTAAATTTTAAATTAATTTGATTTGAATTTATAAAAAAAGAAAAAAGAAAAGAAAAACTGAAGAAATGGATAATTCAAACCATAATATTTGTCCACTGGATTCAATATATGTTTGAGAGCTGAAATATTCGCCTAAAATTCGTAAACCTAAAATTCGCCTAAAATAACTTCAATCCTTTTATTTTTTGTCTATAGTTTAAGTGTTGGATTTAGTAATACTCTGATAGACAGATGTTTAAAGAAAAAAACAAAACAAAAGATGAATTAAATGCTTTTTATTCGAATCATCTGGAAATTTTAAAAAATCTCGAATATACAATGTGTTACTCTTGGTGAAATAAAAATATCGTTGATATTAAAAATGAAATTATTATGATGAACTAACATTCGAAACCTAAAATACCATCAAGTAATAAAATCATTATCATACATCGTTTAACCATCTTTTTCTTCCTCATCTAAATGAATCAATTTATAATTCTTCAATTACAACCGTTCCTCTAAAAAAGGCACGCAAAAAGTATATCATACATTCATACTGCTTTTTATTTTTTTTTTTTAAATTTCGATAGAAAAGCGCAAAATTTGTAAAATTTACATAACTTTTATGAATGTAATCTTACAACTGAAACAAATTTTACGTAAAGGTAAATCATCCATGAATTTACAGGTAAATTACTTCCTCATATTTTAAATAGATTCAATATTCATGAAGCAGTATGCAAAACAAATTTGCTTAGTTCAGTAACGGTAATGGTTAAATTTATAATTCAAATTGAAAAATTAAAGATAATACTGAACTAATTCTAGTCTAAATTTAAACATCACCAATTTGATCTGATTAAGGTTTATATACAATTCAACAGATTGTAATAATTTTTTCGTTTATTCCTTCGAAAATTATCAAATTCTTAAGTGGTACCTTCTCAGCACCTTCACCGATAACTTCTATTAGCTCACAATTATCTAAATGTACTATCATTACTAATTTAGCTGACTTAAAAGCAATGGATTAGCTCGAACACAAGAACTAAAATTTTGTTTACAAATAGAACAATTCAAATTTTTGATCCCACCCTTAAGTCCACTTAAATATTTTAATATTATAATCAGATAAGATTTTAAACACAAAGTATGAAAAGTCATCAATCAGCTATTTAGATTTAGAGGACCTTTGAGCTTATATATATGTTTAGAAAATAATTTTACTCATCAATGTATCAACCAACTGGCACAGTTCTTAAAAAATACTAACACAAAAAATGATAACAATCTCAAAAAAAAAAAAAAAAAGAATCCCGAAATTAAAACATAAAATTTCACTAAAATTTCCAAGATTTAGAATTATAACAAAATGACACATACAAATGGTAAAATATATCTGATACAAAACAAAAAGCAGGATAAAATTTCATTTATGGAAGCAATTAGAGAATGGTATCTCAAAAAAGTAACGAAAATATGTTTATGATAAAGCGCAAATGAGAAAGAAAATATCCGATATTGCAAATATAGAAAATCAACATCGAATAAGTGTGAAAATATCTTATTGAAATGTAGCAATTCCAAACATAATTACTGAAAATATGATAGATACCAATTGAGTGATAAATTGACACTTTGTGATAATGACATATATAAATTAATACATTATCTTATATGAACTTAACTGTAGTTAGACTAAAACATTAAATCAATCTCTTAAGTTTAAAATACAATTCATTAGCTTGACTTCAATCACAAACATCTGTTCATATTCTCCACCTACTCTTAGAATAATAGTTTTACACAATAAACAGTATAAAAATAATTGCTATTTGCTAATTTCATGTAGAAACGAATTTTAAACCAAAACTCATTGGATATGGAAATTTAATATTTTCAAAAAATGATGGTGAAACTCAAGAGATACAGAAAATTTTAAAAGAAAATACTGCAACATAAAAAATTAATCAAATTGAAGAAAACTTCACTCTTAGATTCAAAAATATCGATAAACTAACCAATTTACTTAGCATGATTTTGTATAATTTCCATTTTAACATAATTTAAATAAAAAATGCATATAGAATCAGAGGTTCAATATTGACAATGAGCCATAAACTTATATATTGGATCAGATACAATATATCCATGACTATCTTACTTATCAAAACAACTATCCAATTAACAAACAAGACACGTCTCTAGGATTTATACTCTGAGTCCCGTTATCAATTATTTCTTAAACAATAATTGGATCTTACATTCTTTTTGCTTTAACACAAATACATATAAAAGCCTTGTCTTTATTTTATAACATCTTCGCTTTTCAAGAGTTGAAAAAAGTCAGAAAAGAGAATATCCCTTAAGATTCTGGAGTATTCGCCTATTATGCCCTCAATTCCGATAGAATCAGAGCGTATGAAAATTTCCCAATCGAATGAGTTTCACCATAGAATCAAGCAACTATTTTATCATTATTCATCATTCAGATCATCTCAAATCCATAGCTAAAAGTTCAGTAAAAATAGGAAGTATATAAACATAGAATTAAATCAATAATTATCCTTTCAACATATAATAAAAAGAAAATGATAAAAAATATAGAAAAATTGCCTAATCAGACTTTCTTCACACAATGTTCTTTGCATTTAGTTCAATAAATGGAAATTGGATAAGGAAATTAAATTACCGAAAGGTACCTATGATACATAGCAAATCACAAAAATTTGTCAAAATACAATCAGTAAGAAGATTTACAGAGAAAGAGGAAATGCTTATCGCCAATTATTATAAGTTTGATGATTGCGTGAAGCATTCATTTGATGCTGTTGTTGACCGTATAATTGCTTTTGTCGTTGTTGTTGCTGCTGATGCAACAAAAATTGCTCCTGTTGATAACTGTATGCTGATTGATGAGTCATTAGTTGTTGCTGCTGAGTAGGCGGTTGTGGTAAAGGTGAAAAAGCTGAGGAGCAACCTGCTGAAGATACAGAATGCTGCGGATACATGACCTTTTGTGATGGAAGTACACTGCTGTAAGCTCGCGAAGCATTTTGAGGAATATTGCAAGTTGGAAGGGTCATAGTAGAGGAGGAATAACTGTAGGGATGTTGTGTGGGATTATGTTGATGTTGATGTACTTGTTCCTGAATGGACTGTTGAGAAAGTTGAGAAGCATGACGTATTGTCGGAGAATGTTGAGACTGAAGATTCTTACAGGAGATTTGACGCTGCTGAACAGAACAAGAGGAAAAAACAGGTTGTTGTTGAGTTATTTGTGATTTAGTAAAAGTATCATTTACGCAAGTCGAAGATAGAGGATATGATGAAATGGAATGTAATGTTGATAGTTGACTGCCATTAGATAAAGAAGAAGAATTAGGAAGTTGCTTGACACCCCAAGAAGACTGCTGCTGTATACACGATGACTGATAAGTGTTGCTGACCTGAGAATCTTTGGTTGTTCCAGACGTAATTTCCCGCATCGCTTGTTCGAGAGGTGAAGATTTCCGTTGAGAAGAATTTGAATATTTGCATGTCTCCGAAAATCTATTCCTGGAATAACCATTTTTAGAAGGAACTTGAATTAAATTTCAACTATTAATTTTTTTGAAAGAAAAACAACTAACGACGAAAAATTAGCAGTAACAGCAGACAAAGATGCGCCTGGAAGCTTCTGAGTTTTTGTTACCGGCGGCGACTGTTTGCATGAAGATAAAGGTGTGAAATGCACAATGTTTGTTTTCCGGTTATTTTGTGAATGAATAATTCGTGACACGGATGATGCATGAACTGACTGCGTGCTGCTTACAGAATCTTTAGGTGAACTTTGCTCTGACAGACCATTATTACTGCACGACTCGGTTTTCTAGAGTTGATAATTTAAAAAAGTTTAAATTGCAAATTCACAACAAAAAAATATCTCAATCATCAATTCGCACAAGTTTTGCATTATCTAACATCAACTCCGTTGCTAGTTGTTTTGCCGATCGAAATGATTACAAAAATAGCTTTCTAGCTGGGATATATATATAAATGAAATTCTCAAACTACACTTTTTGTCAAGACATAACTGGCACACTAACCGCAAAAAATCTTCCGAAATCTCTTCGGATTTTTTCATATTTTCAGTAATTCAGTATATGAAAATTTGATTATCTCCAATTCAAAGCAATTACTATTTCAAAAAATTGTGATTTAAAAAACAAAACTACCTTTACTAAAGACTGTTCCGCTTCAGTACTACTACATGCCTGCTCACTCTCCGAATTGCACATTTGACTTCCACTCTTTTGATCTACAATCACCTAAAATACATAGAATGGGTAAAGTACATCAATTCATTGCTTTTGGCAGAAATTACCAAAATTCATCCAAGTTCGTAATGACAGATTTATTAAGTTGAGAATGTGGTAAACAATCGGATTAACATACATCTTCTTCAGTGTTCATGTCAACTTCAGTATCAGCGCCTAACTCCACTTCTTCAATTTCTTGCAAATCCGAGTCCTGTAACTGATACAAAAATATAGTGCAGAGCAAGAAAATACATCATTTTAAAATATGATTATCACCAAGCTAAAAAAAAAAAACATACACACGAAACTCCACAACAGCTGAAAATTAACGTGGACACCTGAAATGCAATCTATTGAAGACTGAAAAAACTGTCTCGATATCGCTGTTACGTCAAGTTGTTTTATGGAACGATGTTTTATCGCTAATGATGTTGATGATCTCGTTTGATGAGTAATGAAACGTTTTCAGATGCACAACTTCATTTGATATTTCCACAAGATGTTGAAATATTAAATGAATTTCTTTTTCTGCATCCATAATAACAAGTGGAATACCAAGCAGAAAATCAATAAGATATTGAAATCTTTAAATACGGTATTCATTTTAAACTGCTCTCCTTCTTATATTCCAATATATAACAAGCATTTATTTTGGCATTTTTTCCTTCGAACGAGAAGTGCCTAAACTGGAAAAAGATACTTTTGGCCGTACAGCGAAACCCACTGATTCGACAGCAACCAAATCTTCATCTTCATCTCTACTTGCTTCCAGCCGTTCAGCTTCCTAAAAAGTAAAGATCAAAAAAATCATTTAAAATAAACCCGCATTTTATTAGTAAGGTTTTTTTGAAATAATTTTTTTTTTCTCTCTACTTGCCTCTCGTTCCCATTTCTTAATAGCTTCTTCATCGCGCTTTCTATTTTCAGCTGCTTCACGTTCTTTCTGCTCCTGAAATGCGAAATTTGTTATAAGAAACAAAAAAAGTGTAAACGAGAAAGTTGTCTTTGAAATGCAAAATAAATAAGAAATAATTTCAAAAGTTAATTTCGCTTGCTTATTACTTTTAACTACAGAAAAATTGTTTCTTGTTACGCTATTTATTCGAAAATGAGGCATATACCTGCAATTTCCGCTCAATTTCTTTACGCTCTCTGAGTGC